TAGGATCCTCCGCCCTGTGCTTCTTAATCAGGAGCCGCGACATGTTTGCTCCGCCGGCATGTCTATTTTTGAGAGGGATTCGACTCAACAGGAACATTTCGAGAATGTGAGCAAACTGTGTAGAATCAATCTTGTATGATGTACGAATGTCATGGAGGAGTTTGACTGGAATGAGGGCGGCCGTAGGTACACGCCGTGGTCGTTGGTTTCTTGAGTGCGCCTCGTAGGGATCGGGGTTGATGTTCACCTCGTGCTTGATGAATTCAGGACGCAGTATGTGGTAGTCCGCAGAGTCGCGGAGAACATCAAAGGCTTCGTTCGGATCTTCGACAGTCAATTCCACAACGGTGGGGTCCTGTACGCATGCCGAATGGATGGAGGTATACAAGTGCCTGCCATGTCCTGATTTCTGATGAGGAGGGAGGATAAGGAACTGAGCGATACGCAGCCGCGACGGGAGCTGTGAAGGATGAATTTCCGGTCCAGAGGGAAAGGGATCGTTCTTGACAACGGGGACTTGTGTCTGGTCCCTGCGGTAATGCCACCAGCGATAGGTTGTTGCATATCCGACGATGGAGTATTCGGAAGCAGTGGGTGTTGGAGGTTTCACTTTCTCGTATCTGTAGGAGACTCATCAGCGGCTGTGATGGGTCATCACGTCATGGGACAGTAGATTCACATACACGAAGTAGACAGTCCATCGTTGCAGCGTCCACTCCGGATCATCTGTGGCAAGAGGGGTGCCTGCCTCGATGAAGAGCGACACGAATATTTGAGCACGATCCAGCAACCGTCGAACATTAGGGTCTGCCAGCGAGCCGGCCCAGATCTCATAGTTTCTATTCCGAGAAACATAGCTGTGTACCAACTTGCCCGGGGGTTTGAAATCTTTCGCGTCTTTATCCTCTAGCACGGCTTTTTCGTAGTCGGGGAGTGTGACAAAGGCCTCTACAAGTTGATGTCTTCAGTAGAAAGAAACGGAGCAATATTAGTGGGTGATACCAACCTTCTGAGATCCATGGTCTCAAAGTCTTCAGAATATCGACTGCCGCAATGTCCTCAACGGGCTTGAATTTCTCATCGTACGAGATGTGAAGGTGCGGGCGGAGATCATGCGCCGCGAACCGTAGACGGATAATCAAGCCCTTGTAACCGAAGATGCGCTCATCATCGCCGAAGATGGGGTATGTGAATTGAGGATGAAAGCTAGAGACAGTCTTCAGCTTCTGTTCGTCGGGTTGCACTATGGTGATGTTGACGGCATCGTTCGCATCGCACATCCCTGGAAGAATGCATTTCACGGTCAGCTGGATCCAGGACAGTGAGGAAAAGAGTTGACGTGGAATGGGGTGGGAAAATACAGTCGCTTTCGTTTTCCATACTGAGACGCTATGGACGGATGACAGGAAATGTTACGGCAACAGTGAGGAAGACCTGAGCTGAAGATATTCTCTCGTCCTTCTTCTCGGCGCGTGTTGGGGATAATCGCGTTGCGCGGAGAGCTTAGCCGGTATAACCTTTCTAGGATTAGCGCCATTGAGAGCTGTTGCTTAGTGTTACCCGTCCATCTACGGAGTATATTGAAGCTGTAGCTAGATGCATTGATTATTGATAGATTTTCGAACGGCACTTCTTATTTGATAACTTTCAATTCCGTCATTTCAGCTAATTGAGTCTTGCTTCCATAGGTAGTGTATGATAACCCATTGTCTCATAAGTTGCTCAGGTATCCTCGCTCAAGGCTGTGTTCATGGCAACGAGTACAATGCCTCCTGCTCAAACCTCAAATTGAGAGGTAATATCGCGAGAGATTTCCGAGCTCTTTTGGCCAGCGAATCAGCTCGCACATTTCCTGGGACGCTGTTGTGCCCTGGAACCCACCGCACCTCAAGCCGAATACCCAGTTTGTATAGCAGCAATGCTGCTTTGATGAATGACGATACTATATTTTCCGCAATACTTGTCGCATAGGGAAACTTCGAAATCTCCGTCAATGCTGCTTGAGAATCAGTGAAGATTGTCATTTTCCTCCAATCGTTGCGCTTTTGGGCAATCTCCGCAGCCACGTCGAGCGCTGCTTTGATTGCGAAGAGCTCGGCTAAGTTAGAGGAGTGGACTCTTGCAAGACCGAAAGCTCTAAACTCCCATTCTTTCTTGTTAGGCCATATTTTGTACACTACAGCAGCCGCAGCAGAGGTTCTTTTGGTTGGATCAGCTGACGTCTGAGGACGAGTCCTTGCAAAGGAGCTGTCGACCCAGAAAACACACGAGTCCTGAAATTCTCGCGCAGGTCGCAGCTCGGATGCTAACAGCGCATACTCTCGGGCGTATCCGCGCTCCTGTATCACGATATCCCCGCGAAAACTGCAATAAGAGGGGACATACAGTCGGAGTCCTTCGCCGTCTCTGAGATAGCTCTCATATTGGGCCGGTGGAGATGATGCTTGCTGAGCAGTAACCCGGCTAGGTTCATCTGATTGAGGGCTAGTGAGGGTTACAGACGCCAATTTAGCAAGAGCTTGACCTTGTTCGGTTTGTCGCACGATCTGAGTCAAGTACTGAGCTAGTGATTCCATCTTCAAGAATTCAGCAGATTCGTATGCAGGGTCATTTCTTGAAGAAGAGGTAATGTAGTTGCAAGTTAGCTGCCTGACTAATACTATTGGGGTGACAGCGGGTTAGGATTCAGCGAAGAGAATACCATGGTTAAGTGCACGGTGCAGCGATAGTGTGCTGGTAACCATTGTATCATACAACCTCACTCGAATCTATCTGCCATCGTCCTCCAAGAGCAATCTCGTTCTACGCCGAGCTGCAACTGGATCCGCTCCAGTGCCGCGGATCTCTCCACGCCTTCTCCAGCTCCGATAACTGTCAAAATTTATCTATATCACCATAACTCTAATATATAACCCCTAGACTATGGAGTACACCGTCCAGACATCTTTTCAGTCTAGCGTTATTGAATTTTGATAATAACTACCTATTCGATTCGCAACCAAAACATGGCCCATTACCGAAGTATGCAGCCCAGTCAGGGTACAAGCTACTCTGATTCAAGTGACCCGACAACAGATGTCACCCTCTCCGTGGAGATGCCCGGGGAAGTACGCGCCACACTGAACAGCTACGTGCCCCTGGATGCGGACGACGAGACCGTGAAGCTCCTTCGGGAAACGTTCAGGTACCTTCCATCAGACGGCAGAGTTAACCTTGCCGAGGATATCATTCAGGCTGGGGCGGGCAATAAGTTGCACCAGCTTGCCCAGAGTATCGTTTCAGGCCTTCTCAAGCCGATGATGGTTGCCGGTACCAAGAAGGTGGAGATACCGCGGTTGGGCATTGAAGAACGTCTTGCCAGCATGACAGACGAGCACGAGTCGATGACGCGTGCCCAACAGCTCCAAGAGGATGCGCTTCGCAGAGATGGCAATAAATGCGTTGTATCGGGCCATTACGATGTTCTATCAGAGGAGTTATATCCCGAAGAAATTACTGCTGACCTAGAAATTGCATATATTGTGCCTTTTGCTCTATCCAAGTTCAAAAATGAATATGAGAAACAGCAAATAATAGCTGTTTGGACGAACATCTTTCGTTATTTCCCAAGCGTTCGTTCCCGGCTGAACTTCTATTACCAGAACATTAACTCCATGGTAAACGTGATGACTCTCTCCCTACCTCTCCACACGCAATTTCGACGATTCAGTCTTGCACTCGAACAGAAAACAGACAGCATAAATCAATTTCGTGTCAAGACGTTCCGTGGTTTTGCAACAGCCCATCGAGCTGAGCTGCCAGCGAGTGGAACTATCAGCATGACAGTCCACGATGGACGCTTCCCATTGCCTTCACCTATTTTAGTTCAGGTTCACTGTGCAGTTGCGAACATACTCCATGCCACCGGCGAGGGTGCGAAGATCGCCCGAGCCCTACGGGACTATGATGCGACTGGTGGCCTCTCTAGCAACGGTAGTACCAATGTCTCGCAGCTCCTATCTGTGACTAAACTTGCATTGGTGCCCCATGTCCGTCGCTTCGATGGAACGGGTTCGATAGAAGACTGAGACAACAGACATTGACAGGTCCCTCCACACCACTCCGTCTTATGGAGATAGTAGCTATACTGAAGTGTGGGCTTCCCTGCCGCATGATGTCGCCCCCGCTGGAACCCTGATTCGCGATGACCCCAACCCCCGCAATAGGCGACTAGTCACCGTGGCCTTTGATAAAAGGACGGTCACTCTGATTCGAGTTTCGCAGTGCCGCGTCGACGCAACCCATTCCCCCTTTGCCAGGGCCCACAAAGGATCAGTCAAGCTGGAACATACTGACCGGTTCATCGAATTGCGGGACCTCAGCCACTGTTGGCATTCTCATGGCTAAGTTGTTTACTATTAGGTCAACGTCCGACCCCTGTATGAAGAGGGATAATACAGCCAGTACCAGGAGTAATCAGCAATTGCAGAAGGCTGTCCACCTTGCCTGCCCTCCAACAGCACTAATCTCACAAGGTTGACACCGAATTGAATGGATCGGAAGCCGTCATCGACTTTGACCAAGTGAGGCACAAGGTAGAATCATTGCGCCTTGAAGGTGCGGTGCGTCCTGCGATACTCGTGTTAGCAAGCTATTCTACACGATACTCCACGTTGCACCGAGCAGCCATATGTATGCCTTTATCCCATGCCAAGCTAACTGGGACAATAATTCTTTCTTAATTGTGTCGATTAATCTTCTCTGACTCTTCTCGGTCTGTCGATCTACTCATATGCTATGCTCAGTCGTCAATTATTCAAACCACATAGAAGACTTGATCCTTTGTCTTAGTTCTTTGGAAATCAGGTGAACTCTTTCATTCACCATACTAAATATAAACCAGTAAATTTCAATCTAAACATGGCAGCGACAAAAGCAGAGTAAATTGCCTTGATCAGGGTGGGCACAGCTGGCATGTGAATTTCCCTGCTCTTCATCTCGCAGGGAGAACATGATTGTGAATGTCTTCGACACCAGACCAGACCATCATCCAAGAGCAAGGCCCTGAGAATCTTGCATTATTCACTTTCTATGCTGAGTTGCAAGCCTGCAACTCGATCCGCTCCAGCGCCGCAGATCTCTCCACATCTTCCACATCTCCGATAACTGTCAAAAGGTTAAACCACCCTAACTGTGATATATAATCCCTAGACAAGGACTACATTGTCTGGACCGTCCAGCGGTATTGGGTTCTGATAAAGGATGGCTGACGAAAGAATCAGGACGTCCAGTTCGGACCCAAGCGACTATGATATGACTGCGAGGACATCAGAAGTAGATACCGTCAATTTCACAGAGATGCCAGCCGCAGTTCAGGCCACGCTGAAGGGCTACCTTCCATTGGGCGAATGATGAAAAGCCAAGAAGGTCATCGAGGTAGGTCATGCAAAGTTTCCGCTCCGATATCATAATGGTTAATTGAGGATTCGAAAAAAGGAAATGGATACCTATAGAGAGTTCTGCTCGCTCTGAGCTTGGCTAGCCGAAGAGGAACGGCATTATTACCACGGGCAGCGCCTGCTCCGTCTCCTTCCAGGAGACGACGGTTATGTCGCATGGGTTGCTGCCCAGCATGCATTTGTCGAGGGAATCCGTACTACATCTATCTCCTGTTACGGAGACGAATCGACTGCAGATGGCGCAGCTCGCTTGCGCGAGCTTGAGAACACCTTTTCCCTAGACAAGCGTGAGGACGTTGGGCAGGAGATTGACGGGCTTGGAGACCTTGCGGCTGACCACAATGGACTAAACACAAATGATCGCTTCCTCACTCGATTCAAGTGTTTACAGAATCAGAGAGAACAGCTCCAGGCCAATGACAACCCGGCGGTAGTACGGAGACATTCAAGCATCATCACAGGCCTCCTGACACCCATGAAGGTGGCTGGGGACAAGACGGCCGAGCTTACTCCTTCACCACGGATTGGGATTGAAGTCTCCCTAGAGTGTGTCTTCCCAGTATCATGATGAGTCAATGACGCGTGGGGAGCTGACTGAGGAATCATCCCCTAATCTCTCCCTCACCTACTCCACTAGGAGTCGCCTTTTACGCGGCCTGACGCTCACTTTGGTAGCCGCCATTCCCCCACATTGCCCCCTCCTTGGTGAGCAACGACTCAGACCCTTTGTCAGGGGTTGGCAGCGTCATGTGCTCAAGTGGGAGCCTCCCAAGGGCCTCAAATGGTAAGCGATCAATCCTTACGGTCTTTGACGGAGGTCTTGCGGCTAATGACAACTAGGCTGGAGAAAGTCTTGAAGTGGCTCTGGGACGGGGCGCTGGCAATCCTCAAATGGCCGGGATGCGCCTGCAGTAGGCCGAAGCCCCGAGGCCCAACGCCGAAGATGTCGAAAATTAAGCCGGACGTGGCGGTAACGGGGGCTGTGGCGAGCCTGCAGCTCCCGGCCAGACAACTTCGACCCCAGGAGGCCTGCAGACGAGCCAGCCTGACACTAGAGGGGGAGCTGGCGAGATGATGGTTTACCATCAACGTCGACCATTTCTTAACCTTCATATACTTCATATACTTCATCTACTATGACACTGACTGCACTCTCTATACACCAAGCAGACATGGTGAACAGAGCTCCTCGTCTACACACGGGCAGAGGTCTGGGCCAAGACCAATAATAGGCTTAACGGGCCGAGGCGAAGTGCCCACAATCCGAATTCTTAATCCATGTCGTTGACTAGCAGCTTCGAGATGATGCATCCAGAAGAGACGGTAATAAATGCGTCGTATCTGGCGAATACAATGTTAACAAAGACGATGAGTACACTCTCGATGAAGTGATTGCAGACTTGGAAGGGGCACATATTGTGACTCTAACGAAATGCGTCCATTCTTTGAGGACTGCGTGTTCGAACAAAGCCGAATATGAGAAACAGCAGAAAATGGCTGTTTGGGAAAATATTTCTCGCTATTTCCACAGCATTCATTCCAGGCTCGACTTCTATTACGAGCATTAACAGGGGACAACTGACTTGCAGTTAACACCAGCGGCTGAGCAGGAGGGGCAGACATTCAAACAGGTGGTGCAGATGAGGGGTGGGGAATTCCTAGCAGAGGTAGGGGAGGACTAATCAGCAGAAGGACTATCTCTAGGAGGTAAATGGGTTGTTTGAAATGGCAAGGCATACTGTCTGCAACAGGATGAGCAGCCTTAAACAGAAGACAAGATAAGTCCAGATGACGAACCAGCAACGAGCAATATGTCCATCAGGCGCTGATGGCATTTCTCAACGCGGTAGCTATGGAAATCCCTAACTCAGACCATGATTGGGGTATATGACGTCTCGCATTCAAGGTTGACTTCACAGCATGGAGATCCATGCAGTGGCTATATGTACGGAACCAATGGGGGTGAAGGAACATTCATAATCGTGGAAATCAAGGCTCATATCCGGAGAAGAAGCATCCAGGAAGGTTGCGAATCTACATGCAAGAAAGTGCTGAGATGGTCACTCGGATACTCAAGGATAGGCGCAAGGGACACACAGTGCCCCTAAACAACTACCTGGGTTGGTTTATCTTTCATTCAACATTGTCGGCTGCGTACTAATACCCTATGTCATTAGATAATTTCTAGTCTTCTAAGATCGGCACCGAATGTCTTACCTACCCATCATATGATGCATTGTATGTCAAATACCTTGAAGGAAACACCTCTGGTAATAGTCTCCAAAGATGAAAGAAATCGGCCCCTTCAACACTCCAGATTATGACCACATGAGATTACTACTTGCGCAATATATCGGATGTTTCTGTCTTCAGATCACCGACCAAATGTCATGATGCTATCACAATCTCTTCACAGGCAATTTGGACGGTTCAGCCTGGCGCTTGAACAAACTGACACCCCACGATCTATACCTGACATGTGGAAATTGTTGTCTCTGTTCTTTAACCATAACCATGTTCTCCAGTGGACACATGGGAGCTTTCCCAATCCCCACAACCCACGGATAGCCTACTGTTCAAGGTAGGAAAATGTCAACTGCAGAAAAATATAGGCCCATGGAGGCGCAATATCAGGACGAATTCTACAGGTCATTCAATCTTTTGGCAGGCCGGGGAGTACCGATCTGCAGTGAATGGTCAAGGACCGGTGATGGTCGAGTCATCATTTGCCTCTGTAATTATTTACACGAGGACTGGGTCGATGGGTATTGTGCCTTTAAACCTCTTCGTCTGTCTTCTGACGGCCACGAAATCGAGTGTGCGTTTCATTGGCTGCTCCGGGAGCCCCATGGACAGATGGGCTATGTCGACCTTGCAAGAAGCCAATTACCGTCTGCAGGTCTTGGTCTCAATATCGTGGAAGCCATTCCGTCGTTTTGCAAAAAGCTGTCGAGGTTTTCCCCCGGGGAGTGAAATTGTCACTATGACACCCCGGTGGACGCTTCAATTTGAAGCTTTTGAGAAGCTCAGGAGCTTATACGAACGCTCTGTGCGAGATGGCCCCCTTCTCTTACAACAAATCATCAGATCGATCATCTACGATGCAAACGGCAATATTGCTTCTTTCTACAAAGTTCAGTTCACTGTGCCATTGCACACATGCTCCATGCCGCCGGCGATGGTGAGAAGATCGAACAACTACTACACGGCTATAACGCTACTGGCGGGCCTTGCTAGCAACGGTAGTAGTGGTGTTGCACAGCTATTATCTGTGCCGAAGCTTACATTGTTGCCCACGATTCAAGAGCACAGCATTAACTTGAAACCCGCAAGACCTGAGTCCAGTGATATCAAAAGACGCCCACTTGAGCCAAACCGGCAAACTAACTGCCCGATGAATTGAAGGAAAGCAGAACTGAATGCTAAATGTCCTCGCCTTCTCCGCTCTACATGTCTTCTCTTCAATGTGCTTGATCTGTTGGCGATAATGAAGTGGTACAGGGCTTTTTGATCCCAACCCTGACTTGACAGCTCCCATGCATGGAGATGAGACCGAGGCCATGTTACACCTAATAAATGCATTTAATAAGATTAAACGAGCTCATTACCCTCATCATAGGATTAGCAGGAATATGAAGACGCAGAAAGTATGATTATGGGCCGTGCTGAGTACTTTCAGACTTCTTCTCACTAAATGCTTAGTAGACTGCTCAGTATGACCAATTCTTGCTGATCAGAGCTTGATCACGTCTGCTACCCTCATGCTATTCAACCTCTATTGGATAGCCTCGTTACTTGTTCTGCGATATAGGGGTATTGAAGATTCGTACCTGAAGAAGCTCGCAAGACAAGCTTGGATACACTTTTTTTGTGAAGCCTTGGATCCTTAGGCTTCGGTGTCAGCACGTGCAAAGCTAGATGTCGATCTAGGATTGAGGAACAAAGAATCAACCAGCTGGTTGGCGAACATATATTCATTGTCGTGCATCAAGAATTGATAGAAGCAACATGTACCAGCTCACCTAATATTTAGTCACAAACTTGAAAAATTTCTGATATTGACCCTTTGACTATCACTGCTATACCTCGATGTCTCCTTGTTCCTGAAACATTCCTCTTCCGCTTTGTGGGTCCTGCCGACATTCTGTGACTGTTCCCTTTGCGGCGGATCGCAATCTGCTTGGCCACGCCACGTTTAGTCGTCCGTCTGCGGTGTCTCCTTCATATCCCAAACGGTGCGAATTCTGTATAGACTATCTACTCCTCAATCGGACTCATTCATATTCTCAATTGAACACTTCTGTCAGGGCCCTGTCATAGCCTCACTGCCTACTGACACCCAACCAGCGGAAGCTATTCGACCAATCGCGCAACTGACATCATGTTTGAGGTCCTATAAGGCGGAGACAAAAGCTCTTGGGACGAAAGGTCGACCATGGAGGGACTCTTCACTTTGCTCGCTTTGAGCATTGTGATGGCAATTACGTGAGCATTGAGATCATATTTCGTTCATCTTCAGGGAAGAATAGAAAACTAATGGCCGCCTCGTCTTGATGTAGATCCTTCGTTGTCGGCTCATTACCGCTCGCTTTCACCCTTTCCCCCTCGCAGTTGCGATTAATTTCTTCCCTTGGAATGGGAGTTTTGGTTGGGACATCTTTGATTGTTATTATTCCGGAGGGTGTGGAAACTCTTTACAGTGCGAACTCGCATAATGATCGAAAAGGTCTCAGCACTCGTTCAATAACGGCCGTAGAATGGCAACACCGATCATTTCCGGCGGTCGATTTCTCCAACTCGAACAAGGAAGCAGATTCTACACATCCCCCGGCCATGTCTTCACCGGAGACATCTACCTTGGCACCCACACTTCCACTCATACGGACAGTGCACGTTACCCGCGACGACCAACCTGAATTGCGGCAGCGAGAGGAGGAGGGTGGGTCGAATAAGGATGAACATAATGGAGATAAAGAAGAGAACTCTTCACATGCTTGGATTGGAGTTGCCCTGATCAGCGGTTTTATCCTGATGTACCTCATCGATAAACTACCCGATTTCGCAACGCCTTCAAAGCAACAAAGACCGCCCTACCACATTTCTCTGGACAATCTGGGATCCGGATTGCGACGCAACCCTTTCCCCTCCAGAGAAGGAGGTTTGTTGGACGCCGGCAGTACCTCTAGTCGAAGTCATAGCTTTGCGACAACCACCGGTCTCGTCATCCATGCGGCAGCTGACGGCATCGCTCTGGGTGCATCTACCTCCGATACCGGGTTGAGTTTTATCATCTTCCTGGCTATTATGGTGCACAAAGCTCCCGCGTCTTTTGGTCTTACATCGGTGCTGCTCAAGCAGGGCGTGTCGAGTCGGACCGCGAGAGCGCATCTGGTGGTCTTCAGCCTGGCGGCTCCCTTTGGCGCACTGGCAACATTTCTTTTCATGCGGATCGTGGGCTCGGGCTCTAGCGGTGACGAGGCAGCCACTTTGTGGAGGACTGGAATGTTGTTGTTATTCTCTGCTGGAACTTTTCTGTAGGTTATCCTCTGGTCTCAGTGACTGCAGGAGACAATGGTGACTAACCGTCTTTAGTTACGTTGCCATGCATACAATGCAGGAGAACGGCCCGAACTTGGAGTTGCGCGAACTACCAATGAATGGATATGGCGATTCCAGAGACATCCCTATTGAATCCGACAAGTCCATGCGCGATCTGGTCGCTTCTGTCATCGGCATGATACTGCCGCTGTTTTTGCAACTCGGTCATGCTCACTAACGCGATTCCGCTTTAAAACCTCTTGCCCTCTAATCCCTTATGTCTCTGATCTAATTTGGCTAGAAACCCGGCTCCAGTCTGGTTTCAGACTTGGGGCTCCTCGGTGAGCCTAGAAGAATGAATTCATGGCGATCTTGAATACTATAGACTTTGCGCGTTCGAACGAAGAATCCATCTGTTTCTCAGGAGCTATAGCGTTCTTTTTTTTTTTTAAACCGTTCCCCTGTTTTGTGCTATACCGGTACCTCATTCTACTGGAAGAGCTGTCGCTCTGCTCTGGCTTATTGTATTATTCTAAATGCTATATGCGACTGTTGTTTGTGTGTTCGTGCCGGTTCAACTGCTGTATAGTATAGCCTTGTGTTCGGCGCCTTCAAATTAATGATGAAACCATTTGTCATGCGGATGATACCTGGGAGAATTTTGTTCCATGGTTGAAGATATTCTGTTGTTTGCCAACCCAGGGACTCGGGACAACCATATCACCAAATCTGGGAATTTGAACGGCCAGAGAGTCCATGGATGAGATAAATATTTGGAGTGCCGATTGTGTTGCGGCCCAGGATGTTGCAGATCCGAAGCGTCTGATAAGATACGACATTAATAGAGCCATCCGACAGTCCATGAGCACATTAGTCATTTAGAGCAGATGTAGACAGGCATGTGGTGGCTGAAGTACGGCTGATTCTGCAAGTTTCTTTGCCTCCTTTGACGACAGACTTGCGAGCTTGGGGGTTCGCCTGTGCCACTGTGCCAACACGAGGGGTTATTATACCTCTGCATTCTGCTCTTCACCAGCATACTAAGAAGTCTACTAGTGACGAGGAGTCTGTGAAGGAAAGATAACTCAGATGTACATATCTATATGATTTCTTGCTCACTGTGGATTGCGTCCTTGAGATTCCCAAAGTTTGTCATTACCAGTATTTTTTTCGCCTTGTGGAACCAGGTATCCTCTTATCGTCAACTGTGGAGACAAGATGATCATCAGAAGTCATATATCTACCTCTGTACAACATCATATCATTTGAAAGCAGATGAAAATTGGTTGATTTTGATCGCCTACTACTGTCACTCACTGCAGACTTGGGCGGATGTTCCTTTCCCAAAGCTGAGAGACCTAGCTTTACATGTGCCATATCAAAATCTGCGGAGGACTATCTACAAAGTACTTCTTTCTCCCAAGTCTAGACGAGAGTGGCCTAGATACCGAGTACCTATGCCTCTAAGGTAATTGACTATGGATTATGCTATTCCTAGGGCCCGCACCTGACCCGGCAAGACATCCGCCGCATGATCCAGACTCCAGACTCCGGACACTACCTTTCTGTCTCTTCTCTCGTCAGGCTTAAGATCACTTGCTTGCCTTTTTGATATACATTCGGCCTTCTTTTTCAGGCATCTGAAATGGCGTCAAAGTAGCCGCTGTTGCTGGCTGTAACTGACCTTCTCCCGTTTTCCTCCTCGAGTAATTTTCCCAACTTCGCTTTCTAAAGGAAAATAAAATAAAATACTCCCATTTCTTTTCTGTTTTCTTCCTTTTCCCCCCTATTTCCTTCTTTCGTCAGAGCGCTTCCTCTAGCGCTCTCGCATCGGAGTCTATCCGTTTGTCATCATCTCACTTTCTCTTTCCTCCTCAATATCAGTCCTCCTTTGACCTCTCACCACCTCTCTTTCTTACAATATTTGTTTTGCTCCCTCTCAAGAGAAGCGATACGTTCTCTATGATCGAAGTCGATCCTCAAATGTCTTTTGCGAGTCCCTATCGATAATCATCGTTTGCCGTCGACACAAGTGCATGTTGTAACCGTCATACTCTCCACGGCAGTTCGCGAATACACTCGTCGGGCGTCATTCATGGAACGGCTGGACGACGGGATGACTCCGCGTATTGTTTCTGAGCAGTTGGAGACTGCACATTCCAGATCATCTGCCGCACGGAATTCAGCCTCCCACTCGAGATCTCTGTCCTCCAACAAGACCGTCACTCCTATTCCTCCGAGTCTATTACCCTCCGCACCTGCGTCACCTCCAACTCCGGCCCCTAGCCCGACCCCTCACCAGAGACCTCCAACATGGCAGTCCTCAGACGAGGAAGATGATGCCTTTCTTTTGAATGCCAGGATACATTTTACTTCTTTGTCCAGCGCGAAGAAGCAGAGATTTTTGGAGGGCGTACTCGGTCTGTGCGATAGTCAGCTTCTCAGCTTTGTATCGAGTTATGTCACTCCACGGTTAAGGAAAGATCCTTTTCAGGTCTTCCCAACCGAACTATGCTTGAGGGTAAGCTTTCCGTTGACGATCGCTCAACTTTCACGGACAGAACTGACTGTAAGCTCCCTTCGTTGCACTAGGTTCTCTCATTCATCGACGACCCGAAAACCTTGGCGAGAGCCTCTCAAGTTTCAAGACGTTGGCGTGATCTCCTGAGCGATGATATTACCTGGAAGAACCTCTGCGAGAAGCATGCTTACGCTTACCGGAGACCGTCGGGAGATTTCATTGACCCCTTTCACCTGCCTTCGGTTTCAAGCACACGCTCCCTGAACGGGCTGCAGAGAAAAATCTCGGGTTTACATCCTGCAGATAATCCCTTCGATCTACCTCGCTCTGGCTCTGGAGACTGGCTCTCTTTAGCCTCACGGAAGCGACGGACTCGACCCTTGTCATACAGATCTCATTTCAAGCAAAAGTACATGGTGGAGTCGGCTTGGAACAAAGGGGGCCGTTGCACCCAACGGCACATCACGCCAGATCAAGGTGTCGTCACGAGCTTGCATCTTACCTCGAAATATATCGTGCTTGCGCTGGACAACGCCAAAATTCATGTATACGATACCAACGGGAATAATCAGAAAACATTACAAGGTCATGTCATGGGTGTCTGGGCCATGGTACCGTGGGACGACATTCTGGTGAGCGGCGGTTGCGACCGCGAGGTCAGAGTCTGGAACATGGCTACCGGGTAAGTGGTACCTTGATGACGCTGGGAACATCTCAGCTTAGCTCGCTGAGAGGAAATGGCTAACAGTGCCGCCAGGGCGGGCATTTACCTTTTACGTGGCCACACATCGACTGTGCGTTGCTTGAAGATGTCTGATAAAAATACAGCGATCTCTGGATCAAGAGATACGACGCTGCGCATCTGGGATTTGACAACAGGCACCTGTCGCAATGTTCTGGTCGGGCATCAGGCAAGCGTTCGGTGTCTGGCCATCCACGGAGATATTATTGTTTCAGGGAGCTACGATACTACCGCCCGGATTTGGAGCATATCGGAAGGACGGTGTCAACGAACGCTGTCGGGCCATTTCAGTCAAATCTATGCGATTGCCTTTGACGGCAGGCGAATCGCTACCGGCAGTCTGGACACCAGTGTCCGAATCTGGGATCCGCACTCTGGCCAGTGCCATGCTATCCTTCAGGGACATACATCCCTTGTCGGGCAATTGCAGATGCGAGGCGACACTCTGGTTACCGGCGGATCTGATGGATCAGTGCGCGTTTGGTCATTGACGAAGATGGCACCTATCCATCGTCTGGCAGCTCATGACAATAGCGTGACTAGTCTTCAGTTCGATAGTTCGCGTATTGTCAGCGGTGGTAGCGATGGTCGCGTCAAGGTGTGGAGCTTACAAACAGGCCAACTCCTCAGAGAGTTGTCCACGCCTGCAGAGTCTGTTTGGAGAGTTGCATTTGAAGACGAAAAGGCAGTGATCCTGGCTAATCGGTCGGGTCGGACTGTTATGGAGGTGAGTAGCCCAACTAGAACCTCAGTATACATATCTGATTTGATACAATTTCATAGGTCTGGACGTTCTCCCCTCCAGAAGAAGATGATGACGGTGCTGTTGTTGAAAGTACCGCGAGCACACCCGGATTACGTCCACGCCAACAAAGCAGTCAAGATGACCTCTCCTTGAATTTTCCGTCTCGTTCAGCTCGACACCGAACGCTCTTTTCAGATCCACCTCCGACCATACCCTTGAACAATAACGATGACGACCACCTCATGCCGGATGCCCCTGCTTCGTGATTATTCTCCTGCCGTACTATTCGAGGCTCAATAAGTTCATCACACCTTCAAGTCACCCCCATTCCGTGACTTCTATTCCGCGCACTACTTGATCCATTGCGAATTGCATTGGACAAAGTGCAATTTAAGTCTAATCTCACCGGTCGTCGACAGCCGTCTGTCACGCTTTACCGGCTAGGGTGCAGGCCACAATCTCGAGATCAGATAACTTTTTGTCATCAAACCTTTTGCATAGGTACTGGGTGTTGGACTCTATTTTCGTTTCTATCCTTGTCATCCATACTACCTTGATTTTGCGGAGTTTCGAATGGGAGTCAGCGGGTTTTGATGCAGTACCTTCGACATGGTTTATTTTTTTCCTCGCCGGTTCGATGATACCCACCTCGGGAGGCGATGTATTTGGCATCTAGGAATTGGGCTTCGATCCTGTGACAAGAAGTGGTCTCATGGTCACGGTCTTCGCTGTCATGTTGTTACTGCTTCCGGCATATATACTTGCATATCAAGAGGCATTATAGAACCAAGCGCAGTTCCTCTCATTTGATCCGCCGCACAGCTGGCTGTCTTTTTCGTAAATAGAGGAAAATTGGCTACGGGCTGAGACATACTGATTAATCCGTAATGCTTTTGATCAGGGGTTCATCTGTCTTTATGCGTGAATGGGATGGGCAGTTATCCGAGGCAATGACTAATACAACACGATTCCATCCATGTCCCTGTCAGCTGACAACAGCCCCTGTCCAGTCTTCCACGATTATCCATGAAACAAAGCAGGGGGATCCCTATCAAGATCGTGTCTTGATATCTTATTGTTTTCATCTCTTGCCGTAGGTTCGGAAAGCAACGTGGATACAAGGAACCTACCGACAACCGTCACCTTACTGGTCACACTATCAATCATGTCCAGGCGGCAGGCAGACGAATTCAGTACATCTGCATCTTGGATTTGAAGCCACAACTACAA